TTATCATAATGTGGAGGAGCCATGCTGATCCTGGGTCAGTGATTCAGTCTGACCTGTTTTGTCTGGGCTTTAATGTCTGTTCAGGAGGAGCTTTGAGTCTTAGAGTATTTTTACCTCACACAGTCGGAGCTGATCTGCTGTAATTGACAGGAAACACACACACACACACACACACACACAAACAGAAACACACACACCTGACCTTGCAAATGACACTGTACACAACACACCACCTCAACCACCTCAACTTAAGCGAAGCAGATATGAATTCACATTATTTCATGATATTTTCCACTATGCTAACAATACCAGTACCATGATATACAATATAATAATTATTGCTATTATTTGTGCTAAGCATAACCCTCTGCACTAGTATGTAATGTCATGTTCTATGCGTGGTAAAAGAGTGGAAAAGGGAACCAATGCCACATCACAAAGTAACCATCTGCACCAACACTGCAGATTATTTTGTAAATGTTTAAATTATTAATTATGTGTCCAAAAGTTTGTAGACACAGTTTTGCTCATCCAACGTTTCTTTTGAACTGAAGGGTATTAATAGTGAGTTTGTCCCCCTTTGCTGCAGTAACAGCCTCTACTCTTCTGGGAAGGCTTTACACTAGATGTTGGAACATTGCTGTGAGGATTTGATTGAGCATTAGTGAGGTCAGGTACTGATGCTGGATGGTCAGTTCTGGATCACTCCAACTCATCCCAAAGGTACTGGTTGGATCTCCATCACTCCAGAGAACACAGTTCCACTGCTCCACAGCCCAATGCTGGTGGGCTTTATACCCCTCTAGCCCACACTTCTTTGATGAATGAGATGAATTTAGAAGGTTTGTTATGACGTTTGTTATGATGCTGACGTTTCACTTGTTTGTGGGGCAGTTTATTCTCTTTATTTATATGAAAGGATGTCACAATGATATTCACTCATATGCCTCCCTGACTCAAATGTACTCTTTCTGAATACAAAGTATCTATACGCTAAGTCCCATGGAACTTATATTATATTAAACATATTTGATATTAAAGCTACACTATGCACGTTTTGGGGATTTGGAGACCTCTCTGGTGAAAACGTGTAACTGCACCTAACGTGTAGAAGAATATTTTGCAGCGTGCGTTGAGCTTCGGACCCCTTCCCCAAATGGATGAATCTGATGATTGAATGAACTCAGAACTCAGTCTGAACTTGGTGAAGGAGCGTCTTCTGAGGATGTGAGTGAATCATCTACTATTGTCATCAGATCTTTATCAGTATAATGTTGATTCAGAGATCGCTTGAAACCTAAACATCGAGCCGGACCTTCTTTTTGAGCTTGTACGTGTGACGTTAATATGTAAAGATATACGCTGTGGTGTAAAAAACTCCCGACCCGACACCTCTTGACTTTTAAATGATTATTTCAGACTTTACAGGGCGACTCACCATATTTTAGCCTGTTTTTATTCTCCTCACTCAGTAATGACACTTTATCTGTTTTAACAAAACAAACTTACAGCTTTAAGATTGAATAATAAATGTTTATCAGTTTGATTTAAAAAATGAGAAATTTAATAAAACACATCACACCTATCTGAGAACTTAACCCCTTAAATCCCAGGCTTATTATGCTCTAAGGCTTATTATTCAGTAACTATGCGGGATTCAATGCAAACTAGCTGAGTTATTCTTAGCTTTTAGAAGTTTCTAATAAAACGTTGGCCATTTAATGAGTTAATATTCTAATCAGCATGCTTGATTGACATCCCTCTAGCCAACACTTTCAATCTACTCCACTGAAACAGAACCAAACAGAGCAGCGCAAATAAGAAAAAAGAGAAATGAAATGGTCTGCAGACGGGTTGTGTTGGAGACCCCTGCTGTGTCTATGTCTCACTAACATTATCCAGCTTTAATGTATCTTCAAGAAGGTCAGGTTCTCATTCACTTTCCTGCCAAATGTTAACATGGTTGGACGAACAGACGAACTGTCAGAGAGGCAGACAGTTTGTTAGCTCTGTTATACCTGCCAGGTTAGCTTTCGCTTGGTTGTTAGCTTCTGCTTGGTAAGTTTCTCTGATTCAAGCAAATTTTCTTGAGAAATGCAGTCGTTTATTGGATGCTGGAAGGTTTTTCATTGAAAATATTTAGTACATGCATGCAAGATTAATCTAATTGGATAGAAAACAGGGATTAAGGTCCTTAATGACACTTTCCCTATGCACTTTAGACTGTGAACACTGCTAATACTCATAGTTATGTTTATATTCATTGTGTTGTAACTACCTCATACCTGCTCTCATGTAAATACAAGAAATCTGTCTTATATGCTATGTAAATATGCAATAGACATACTTTTATTCCAACTCTCTCATAGTTTACTTAATTTATGTTTGTTTTTCTATTTCTACTTAATTTATGTCTGTTTTTATTCCTGTTTTATATCTGCCTATTATATCGCTGTTGTCGGAAGAAAACCTTGTATCTCCATTTTTTGATGTTTTTCAGTTTTTGACATATTTCCTGTTGCCCTTTACATTGTGTGTAAATTTCATGATGATTGGAACAAAAGAAATGTGTGGGGGGTGAACAGAGTGAAGACACTGAAACTGGGTTATTTTATGTGTTCTTCACAGAAAATGAACAAAGGCCAAGAAATCTGAGGTTGAAATTATAAAACATCGCATCATATTTTCTTTTGGTAAACACTGAAAATGGTTCCCACCGACCTAAACAACACACAAGGGTTAATTTACAACTTTTTTTATTTACAAGCCAAATTTTAGTGGCTTATAAAATATATGTCCACCTGCTGTCCACCTAATTACACCCCTCCTGTTAAAATACAAAAAAAATGTTGCAGGAAAAACAGCAGTTTACTCTATTACACATATGTAATTACACCATTCAGTAATTAATATGTTGTTACACTACGCAGTTGTGATTGTCAAGACACATTTGTGTAATTACATGAGTAAAAACTGAAGCAGATACATGTGTATTTACACAAGCTGTACTGCTGTAATCCATCTGTAACAGTGAATACATCATCATTACCTTACACAGTTGTTGCATGTGTCGTTAATGTGTAACTACACGGTTATTACAGATGCTCAATATAAAGTGGGACCGAAAGAGCCATAAAACGGAAAATGAAAAGGTGCACTATTAATGACTTACATTAATAACAATAAACTCAACTCCCCACACCTGCACACAGGCAGTTAATGCAGTGTCTGATGCTAAAGGCTATCATTAGCCGATGTGTACGTAGAACGTCTGTGCTTTAGAGAGAGAGGAGAGTTTGGGGGGGGTGGGGTATATAAGCTGGGCAATTAGGAAAAGCAATCTGCAATATCTACTCCCTGGGGTAGACAGACAGAGAGAGAGAGAGAGAGAGAGAGAGAGAGAGAGAGAGAAAAAGAGAGAGAGAGAGCGTCTGTCTCTTTAAGTCGGGTGAGAGACAGAGAGAGAGAGAGAGAGAGAGAGAGAGGGATTGTGTGTGTGGTGAATCTGTCTCTTTAAGTGGAGGTAGAGAGTCAGTGCATGCGAGGGGGAGGGGGGGCATGTGTTTGGCTGCGTTGGAACAGTCCTCCTGTAATGAGCAGATTTGAGAGACACCACAGAGAGAGAGGGAGAGAGAGAGAGAGAGAGAGAGAGAGAGAGAGAGAGAGAGAGCGCACGGACAGAAGAGGGGGAATAAGACGACAGCGCAGGGAAAAAAGAGATAAGCAGCGATACATGAAAACCAGGCGAGGATCGGAGAGGGGGGGACGGGCTAAAACCAGAGCGACGAATCCAGATCCCTCGCCGATGCACAGACGGAGGCACGGGATTCTGATGTCGACCTAAAAGAGCGCAGAGGAGGAGGAGGAGGAGGAGGAGGAGAGGAACGAGGGAGAAGAGAGAGAGAGAAGACAGAGAGAGAGAGCGAGAAGAAGAACGGATTTATATCATATCGTTGGATCGCTGGCTGTTTCCATCAGGAGACTGCATCAGGCAGATCTCTCGCTCGATCACGCTCTCAGTGGGGTGTTTTTTTCTCTCTCTCTCTCTCCGTCAGCATCCGTTTGCGTCTGCAGCATGTTGGGGAGGCGGGAGGAGGAGGGGGTTGGCTCCTGCCAGAAGAGCCGTGATGTTTGTAGAGGCGTGAACGCAGCCTGAACGCTGCCTGAGCAAATCTCCGGGCGGAATCGCAGGTTTCTAGGTGGGGCCCGGAGGCTCTGAGAGCGTACCTGTTTTTGGATTGGGCCGAAAGCTCCGCGGCGCGCCGGTGTGTCGCCCGGAGAAGACGCATGGCTGCTGCAGGGCCTTCCTCCGTCTCCAAGAGGCGGCCGCAGGAGACCGGCTCAGGAATGAATAACAAGCAGCGCTCTGGGAGAAGGATGGTGTGAGGAAGCGTGTGTTGATCCTCCTGGGTCTCTGCTGCCCTGGAACCTTCTCTTTCTTTCTTTTAGCCTCTTTTTTGTGAGGTTCTTCTACTTGTTTTCTGCAACTGTTGGACGGGAGCGTCGCTTTCAGCCTCTTCCTTCTTTCTCCCCCCTCCTGACACCCCCCCAAATCCTCGACTACCTCCCCTGAGTACCTGGAACCCCATCCAGATCCCTCAGAACCTCCAGTTTCTTTCTTTAGCATCTCTTTTGAGGTTCTCTGCAACTGTTGGACAGCAGATTTTGTTTCAGTGTCTTCCTTCTTTCTGCCCCCCTCCATCCTCCACCATCCAGATCCCTGTAGAACCTTCTGTTCCTTTCTTTAGGTCTCTTTTTTGAGGTTCTTCTTCTTGTTTTCTGTAGCTGTTGAGCAGGAGCTTTCTTTCTTTTAAGCACCCCAGACTCCCCACCCACCCCGACCACCATCCCAGTCTGTTTTCTTTCATTCTTTCACCCTCTTTTTTCTTTCTCTTCTTTTTAAGCTTTGGGTATATTTCGGTTTCTTGTGGTTGTTTTCTGCAGAAGTGTTTGTTGCAGTCTTCCTCACTCCTACCCCTCCCAAACCCAGCCCCCCCCTCCACCACTACCTGGACCCTACCCCCCCAACTCTTTCCAATTCAATTTGTTTTGCACTTTTCTCCCTCTCTTTTCTTTTCGTTTTGAGGTTTGGGGTATTTGCCAAAACCTATTTCATGCATGTCCACTGGGGGCAGGTTCAACTTTGATGATGGGGGGTCCTACTGCGGAGGGTGGGAGGAAGGCAAGGCCCACGGCCACGGCATCTGCACGGGCCCCAAAGGCCAGGGGGAGTACGCCGGCTCCTGGAGCCACGGCTTCGAGGTGCTGGGCGTCTACACCTGGCCCAGCGGCAACACCTACCAGGGCACGTGGGCGCAGGGCAAGCGCCACGGCATCGGCCTGGAGAACAAGGGCAAGTGGGTGTACAAGGGCGAGTGGACGCATGGATTTAAGGGGCGATACGGGGTCCGGGAGAGCACGGGGGCCAGCGGGAAATACGAGGGGACCTGGAATAATGGGCTGCAGGACGGATACGGCACGGAGACCTACTCGGATGGAGGTAAATGCTCCTAAATGGTTCCTAAATGGTTCCTGGCTTGGGAATAGGGTCCTTGGAAGAACGTTTGATTGTTATGAAATGTTTACATGATGTGAAGGTTCTGAATTATTCTTCAAAGAGCCACCCTTTGAAATGTTCTCTATGGTGGTTAGAAGAACACAGGTTTGGTTCTTCTTCTCCTCAGTTTAGCTCCAGCAGCACACCTGATTTAACATAATGAGGGCTTATTACCCCAAACAGGTATCATATGGACACTACAGATCCTGGGCTGATCCAGGAGAGGTTCTGTATGTGTTTTTCCAAGTTTCATATACTATGTTACATGCAAAAGCACACTTACTGCCCAGATACACAGTTTTAAAGAATGTTCTAAGGAGGCCTAAGGTTGTGTAGTACTGTACACATCTCATTAGGTTGCTTGCTGTGGGATCGGATCAGATCACAATGGTCCATGATGGTCTAAGAGACTAAGAGAGTGGAGATGATGTACTATTTTGTTTCCATTTCAAACAAATACAAATCTACACAACAGATCTACGAGTCACCCACCGATCTCTCTGCTCCCTGAGAACACATTTGCCTGTGCTTATCTTCAAGTAAGCTGTTTTTTCTGATCTCCACATGCTGTGAGGGGAGATAAATTTGGAGGCCCATATTAAGGCCATCCGGACCGGGCAGCCAACTAGCCAGAGAGAGAGAGTGAGAGAGAGAGAGAGAGAGAGAGAGAGTCAGAAAAAGGAAGAAATAGAGGGAGATGAGGAGAGACAGAAAGAGAGTGAGAGAAGAAGGAAGAAAGAAAAGAGAGAAAGAGATAGAGAGAGAGAGGGAAGAAAGACGAAGGAAGAAAGAAAAGAGAGAGAAGAGAGACAGGATGAGATTGAGAGAGAAGGAGGGAGGGAGAGAGAAGAGAGGACAAGAAATAGAATGAGAAGAAAGAATTAGGGAAGGAAAAAGAAGAGAGAGAGAGAGAGAGAGAGAATTGGAAAAAGGACAAAATACAGGGAGATGAAGAGAGACAGAGAGAGTGAGAGAAGAAGGGAGACAGAAGAGAGACAGGAACAGATTGAGAGAAGAATGGAGGGAGAGAGAATAGAGAGAGAGAAGAAAGAGAGAGAGGGAAAGAGAAAGAAGAGACAGAGAAAGAGAGAGAAAGTGTGAGAAGAGAGACTGAAAGAGAGAGAGAGAGAGAGAGAGAGAATTGGGAAAAGGACAAAATAGAGGGAGATGAAGAGCGACAGTGAAAGAAGAAGAAAGAAGAAGGCAAAAAGAAAAGAGAGAGGCAAGAGAGCCAGAGAAGAGAGCAAGAAACAGAGAGAGAAGAAAGAGAGAGAGGGAAAGAGAAAGAAGAGCGAGAGAGAGAGTGAGAGAGAGAGATCCATTTCAGGTCATCTGCAGCTCTTCAGAAACACAAACACATCCGTTTGATCAGTCCACCGCACTGAACAGGTCAGTCAGAACCCACACGTTTCAAAGCGGTATCAGACGCGGCCGAGTCGAGGCGCAGCGCTGACCCCAGAGCAGTGAGGTGAGGATAAAGTGACAGGGATTGATGAGCGTGAGAGCGGAGTCAGGATTAGAGGCCCATTTAGTCGTAACAAGCAAATCTACCACAGGCCTAAGTTTACGTAACACAAACAGCAGGACCTTACACAACGCCTGCAGCCAAACGCTGGACACGCACACCGCCGCCGTGCCACACTGAGACACATTCACTCAGAGAAACGCTCTGTCAGGACTCGTTCACGAGGCACTGCTGGTCTCAAATCAGCCGGACTTGTTTTAGCAGGGAAGTGACGCTGAACAGCTCACTAGGACAGGTTTTGGATGAATATGTATAAAAATATTTAACTTTATTCATCTGGCAGCACCGTAATTCACTTTTCCCCTGAGGGAAAAATATTTTTGTGGTTTTGTGAAGCAAAAAGAGTCATAATTCATTTCTACATCACCACTTCCCAACCTCTTTCTATCCCTTAGTCCAGGGGTCGCAACCCAAATGTTACGAAGAGCCTTTTTGTCCTTTAAACAAAACTCAACCCAACTTGGGAGCCACAATATTTTATGTCCATTTTACCATCTTGGCTATAAATATGTCTCAGTATGTGCTGATGTAGTAGTATAGGCTAAAAAACATGAACGAAAAAGCAGACTTAGTTTGCTCTGCTTTAAGCTTTAGCTCAGCTATAGTCGCTTTTCTCACATCTCCAGCAGGAAACTTTTCCTCAAAAGTGAAACAGTTTCTTGTAAAATGTCTCTCAAAATTCAGTTTTTATGAGGCTGAAGTCGCTTCTCATTCTCCAGCTTCTTGTTCGAATTTACCCGTTCCACCTTAAATGGGGCCTGATGTGCCGGAGTATAACTGCTTCACCATTTAAGGTGGAACGGGAAATTTGAACAAGAAGCTGGTGAATGAGAAGCGACTTCAGCTTCGTGACTTTTTAGTGTTTGTCAGTTTCTCACTGCAGATTAAACGTATCAGGAAACCAGCTGGAGTGATTATAAATGCAAATAAGTCCATTAGTCTCCAAATTATCGATGTCTGTCTCAAATCTCTGTGGTAAATATAATATATGGTTAATATAGTCACTTTCAGGACAAAACCTTATGTCTCAAATTATGTTTTTTTTGTTTGTTTTTGTTTGTTTTTTGGAAATGGTCCAAAATTACTTGGAAAAAAGTGGTTTGATTAACTTCCAATCACAGTTAAGTACATTTTGGTCACACTTTACTTGAACCCTGCTACATAACACCATCACAAACATGTTAAGGAAGATGTCATATGGTGTCATGAGTTGTCATGACCGAATATGTCCAGCAATATAACAGTGTCATGTTATTATTACCGATAACTGTCTTGACGAATATCATAACGTTTGATGTTATCACATCTTATGTCACATGCTATTTTTTGCTAACTGCACTCAAGTTAGCGACTACGATGTTAATCATTATCAACTCACGACAGCATTATGACATGTAATGACATCATATGTCAACGTTATGTAGCAGAGTAGAATAGCAAAGTATTACTGGAGTCACAAGGACCAGACTATGATGATAATATATATGATGATGCGTATAGGACATATTATTACATACATTATTACATATCGGCCCTTACAGTTGTGTTTGTTTGCTTATTTTTGAAGAAACAGACAAATTCAGCAGAGAATAAGTTGTATAAAGCTGTACCTGCACTTAGCAACAGCAAAGCAAACAACAAAGTCTCTCTCTCTCTCTCTCTCTCTCTCTCTCTCTCTCTCTCTCTCTCTCTCTCTCTGAGCGTGTGTCATTACAGTAGGTTGCTGTGGAAACCCACGCAGACTCCTGCAGCAGGTCAGAGTGTCACAGGGGACGTGATGCTCCTCGCTCTGATTGGCTCGCACACTCTGCTAATGGTGTTTACTTACTTGGCCCTAATCTGCAAGGCTTAATCACAACCATAGGAGAGAGAGACAGAGAGAGACAGAGAGAGAGAGAGAGAGAGAGAGAGAGTGAGAGAGAGCATAGAAAGGTTACAGTGGCAGTATCATCTCTCATCAAACAGTGTCAGTGCACTGTAAGCAGCAGTTCATTCATAATATAACCAGCACAAAAAACTCCACCGCCAGGCCTCCAACACGCTCAGCAGTCACTTGGGTTCTTCCACTGTTGTGACGGGAACTCTGTGACTGTATCCGTGCAGAATAAAAACAGCAGCAGTCTGAATTTTATCTGTACTTTTGTCCATGTTTACCTTACCATATGTCATTCAGTGTCAGAAACCACATAGGCAAGCAGGGTCATGGAAAGTGGGGGTGCTGAGGGGGCTGCAGCACACCCAGATTTCAGGATTGTTTGTCTGCAACTGATAAAAACAGTAACGGAAAAATAACAAGTTATTTTGAGCGTAGCAAAGAGCCATGTGGGCTTTCTGTAGGGTGAAGCATTAGGGTGGTTGCATTTTTACCTTGTAGTATTTATCTTTAAAGAGTAACTCCACCCTAAGACCTTTTTTTTATCATTAACAGCTGAAATGCGCTGCTCTGTACTAATAAAATATACCAGCAATGCTTAAAATGTGAACAAACTACTCCGAATACAACCGAAACCCCTCCCAGTACAACTAAAACCCCTTCCATTACAACCAAACTCCACCAGTACAACCAAACTCCCCCAGTACAACCGAAACCCCTCCCAGTACAACTAAAACCCTTCATCATAACTAAACTCCCTCCAGTACAACCAAAACCCCTCCCAGTACAACCAAAACCCCTTCCATTACAACCAAACTCCCCCCAGTACAACCAAACTCCCCCAGTACAACCGAAACCCCTCCCAGTACAACTAAAACCCCTTCCATTACAACCAAACTCCCTCCAGTACAACCAAAACCCCTCCCAGTACAACTAAAACCCCTTCCATTACAACCAAACTCCCCCCTGTACAACCAAAACCCCTCCCAGTACAACTAAAACCCCTTCCATTAAAACCAAACTCCACCCAGTACCACCGAAACTCCTCTCAGTACAACTGAAACTCCTCCCAGCACAACCAAAACCCCTCCCCATGCAGTGCAGCACTGGGTGCATGATCTGTGTCTGTGAGGAAGGTATTCATGAAGGACACACTCGGTTGAGGTCCAGACAAAACGAAATGCTTAATAGCAACATGGACAGACGCTACTGTGCAAAACACACTGCAGACAAAGAAACTGAATGAATAATTGGTGATTGGCTACCACATAACGAGCAGATCTGCATACTCCGTCCCACACAGCAATCAGATCTCAGTCCGAATAACTGGAGAAGCACTTGACTACCAAGTGTAAATGCATGTGGATAAAATCTTATGAGGATACATTCCAGATACCGGAATCATGAAGTGACCAGGTGTAAACGGGGTCACAGTGGACATATCATGCAAACAGAACAGGAAGGATACTTGAATGCTGACCCAACTCCTGAAGAAAACAGAGTCTATAACTCCTGCAGACTTTATGTCATAATAATAATAATAAT